CAAACACTGCATATGAATCTGTTTAGTCATGAAAACATGCCCTTTTTTCCCAGAAAGATCATACCAATTTATGCTGATGAACAAAACAAGTTTTTACTGAACTGTGGCAATCCTTTAAGACATGTTTTAGTAAACCTCTGTCTTATACAGTAAAATTTACTGGCTGTGGACATACCACGTTTTGATCTGTGTTAGTTACCTCATCATATGCGATTGTCAGTCCATAAAACTGCTTCACCAGAGCCTGCAATGAATCGTTTGTCACCACTGAGTCAATGGTCTGAAAAAGAAGAACAGATTTTCTTTTAGAACCTTTCTCGAGACTTTTTCCCTTTCCATGGTAGCACATTTTGTAAATATCTATATCCAGAAAAAAAATTTTTTTCAAACTATAACATTATGGACCACAATATTTAACTGACACTTACATGAAACTCTCACTTCTCAGAACTTTAAGTCATGATTCCCATCCCTTAGTTACTCTCAACTCTTTGTGCTTTTACATTGCAGAATATCATGCAATGATGCAAATGTTTCCTTTTTCTCCATGTTCTCACCACCTTGGAAATTCCACTTATACCAGCTGTAAAGTTCCCACCCTTTCAATCTTCTCCTGTGTCCCCACCATGTGCCTCAGTTCCCTCATATTATTCTTTCCATGATTTGCCTTAAGTCATGGCCAAGATCACCTTTGTGAGAACATCAGGGCTGGGTTATTCGAATGCCAGGATTAGACGTTAACTGAAGTATTCAGTTTTCTTGTATAAAAATGTTTTTCACTGTTTACATGTATGTTTTGTGTAGTTTGAGGTTATTCAAACTCAAAACAGAAGGACAAATAATATAACCTGACAGATGTACCGAAACGTTACAAAACTGAAATCAAAATTCTCGCTTAATAAGGCTTTGAACAACCCATCCCAGCCCTGGCATCTTTCAATCTCATGACCTAGTAAAATAGGAGATGAAAATTAACCACTGCATGCTGTTCCTACCCCAAGGTTCTTTATTCTCTCCTCCACATCAAACCACATCATTTGAACAAGTTTCTTGAACATAAATTTGCCATCTTTGCCTTCAGTCTTCAGTCGCACCAAACACATCCTTAAAACAAAACACAAATACTGAGAAACAGAAAATCAGACCCACAACAAANTTCAGTTGTTTGTTTTTGTCTCATTAAAATTGTGCTGTTTCTTTTTTCCTATTATCCATTGAAGTAGGCAATTGAAAGTAGACCACATCTGGAAAGACCAGACAAGGACATGTTCAAGAGTCTGTACATGTAAAAGCAGTCAAATGAGAGAAAAAAAATCAAAAAAGTGCAGGCTTTCCTGACTCTATACCTGTGCAGTTGACTGAAATCTTGCCATATACTGAATGGTAGGTTTACACAATGTGGACCTGTTTATCCTATCTTGGGAACCATACTCATAAGAAAAAAGCTGTGCCTGTCTGCAGGCTGAGCAGCTCAGTGGAACCTATGAAGAAAACAGAGCATAAGAAAAACGTGTAATCCTGACTTACCCAAGGAAAACACCAAAAATGATTCGTGGGGGTCTTAGGTGTTAGTTTTTGAGATTCAGAGGGGGTCTTAGGTCTTAGTTTTTGAGATTCTGAGGGGGTCTTACAGTTGTAGGTCTTTGGTTTTGACATTAGGAGGGGGTCTTAGGTCTTAGTTTTTGAGACACCCTTTTTGAGACACCCAACTTGTAGACTGTAAAATCTAACAAAATTTAGAACCGATCAATGCCAATCGATTGTCATTGAAAATCAATGACAATCACAAAAAGATCACACAAATTCCTTTTAACCGATTGGTCATCGATTATCAATATCACTCG